CCTAGCCACTCGTCTTGCGAAATTAACTGGGCCTTAGCAGTCATCTCAAAAATTCGAAAATAATCATCTATAACCTCATTTTCTCTCATTTCTCGCACTTTTATAGGCTTTGGTACTCTCTGCTTAGCTACATAGATCTGATATTTCTCTCGTTCCAATTCTACTTCAAACGCTTTATCTTCCCTCTCAGCCCTCCTTTTACGCTCTTGCCGTCTCATTTCAAGTTCGTCGCGTTCTAATGCCATATCTCTTTCAAATTGCAAAAGACGCAATCGTTCGTCAAAACTTAATGACCCCAGGGGCTCGCGAGTACGTTCATAACTTGTGGGACCCGAGGGAATTTTGCCCTTATTGCCATAGTCATGGTCACTACTGAATTACCCGGGTCTTCTACAGTTTTTTTTTGTTCGTGTTTTTGAAGGCTCAAACACTCCTCTGTCAGTTTCGAATTCTACAGTCTCGTCCCCTGTTTGTACTCTTTCTACAGCTTTATCACTTGCTCCTAACCTTGCAGCAAGTGTTTTAACGCCATCTTTTGTATTAATTACAATTTCACGGCCAGCACATTCTTTTCTTAAGAGTTCTGATCCCCAATCGTCGTATTCGCTCATTATACGATTTAATTGTTCTTTCGTGATAATTGTTCACTATTAATACTATTTCTTCCTATTAACCGACTAATCCCACCACTGCTACCAATTGTGACGAATTTAAATCCGCCTGTGTGGGTGTCGGCAATATAACTTCATATACAAAAAAAAAGTTTAAATATATTTTTCTATAATTTGTACAGTGTAAATCCTATACTATTGTTGTGGACTGTCTCTCAAGCTACGATACTTGCGTCCTTTGCGAGTTGTTCCTTCCCGTTGTTTCTTCAGCTAGTCGTGACAATCCCGATTTTCAGAGCGCTCGTTAAGTCTACAAGGGTTTTGATAACGGTCCCCAAATAACTTCGTCTTCACACGTTTACAGCTGAGTGTGTTGCTCAAGTCACTAAAGACTATACCAGAGCGTTTGATCATTAAAGACCCACGTAGTGTATTGCTCAAGTCACTGAAGACTATACCAGAGCATTTGATCATTGAAGATCCACCTTTTCCATATAATGTAAAGTGCGACGTTGATAACGTATATTTCTTTCGTTTTACTTTATCAAGTTATTTTATCAGTGGGTAGACCACTCCTTAATCGGTTCTACTTCGACACGAGTTGGTTCGTTTTGCTTCAGTGTCTCTCTGATTATCGCCTTTTATTCTCTCGCAGCTTGATTACATATTCTATACGCATATGATTTATTGTGCTAATGGCTCCCAGGGCTACACGTACTACATAATTTTATTCTCAGTTACACAAATTTGAAAAACAATGCGAAGAGACTTTAACCCAAGATCAGTATTGAAAAATATTTTTCATATTTATTTTAAACGCTTACCTTCTCTATTGCCATCGAAACAAAAGGCTGCATTAATACCGTGGCACTTGATAATATACAGAAGCCAAGATAATAGCAATAGAAAATAATTGCTAAAACCATTTAATTTCAGCGCAAAATATTTGAACCGATTGAGCATATTCATTTTACGCCAGCTTGTGTAATTTTCTTATGCTCAAACTTATGTATACCATATAATTATGGTAAGCGCTATAGCTTCTTTCGTAAATGACCACTGTCGTTTGTGTATTAAGTGAGCTTTGAAACTAAAATACGGGGCAATAGAGGAAATATCTTATATTTTTATATGGCGTCATAGAAATTATTTATTTAATTAAAGCCAGCAAAATAAACGTTACGACAGTGGCAAAACCTTGGCCGAAATAAGCCGAATTTCCGGTTCAGTTCATTTAGGAATCGAAGTTAATTCTACCTCGGAACTATCCGACCGAGTTTGTAAACCGTGTGGGCGAAATATCCGAAATGCAAGCGAACTGATTGCCATAATCGAACGAGACCTAAACGCGTTGCCTGTCATACGTTCAAACAAATAGACCGTTGTATATTAAAAACATCAGTTGCCAATATGAACTGTCTCGATTGTCTCCCTAACGAAGCCGTTTGGTAACGAAAGCCTTAAAAAGTTCAGAAAGTGAAGCGGATAATAGTTATAAAAACCTGTTATAAAACCCGTTGCAAGAAAAACTATACGGCCGTCTGTATCTATTCTCGTTATATTTTCACGCGCCAACAAGAACAATGCAAAAATCATGCTTTTCCATAGAACGGCCAAAACATTCTTTCCAAGGAGTAAATCTTTAACTGCTAACTCTTGCTCGCGTTTGACAATCAGTTCGCGTTTCGACTTTCGAGAAGCGTTCAGTTTTTCAACAGCTATTAACGCATGCATAATTAAAGTGTTAAACGTATGTTTACATATTGAAGTGTATTCACTTTTGAATGACAGCGGGTCAGACTCGCAGCCAATCATCAATTCCCGTCCACTGGTGGACGGGGAATCCGATTACACTGCCAATCCCAGCAGGCGGTCTTTCCCAGGCTTGCCCGATTTTAGGGACCGCCTGCTATAATGCAAGAGACACAAAATGAGGTTACCTAGAAACATGTTCTTAAATAATTCACATTTAGACATTCATAATTAATGTTCGAGGCTATTATTTTCAGTTTTAACTTCCGCAAAATCACAGAATACTACACAGAAGTCCATCTCCATTGTTTTTAGCGTAAGCTCTATTCGTCATGATTCGTCACTCAGCAAGTACCGTAAACAGAAGCAGTCACCCCCCTGGACATTCGCCATTTTTAGTATTTCCAGGAGAGGGACTGCTTCTGTTTACGGTACTTGCTGAGTGACGAATCATGACGAATAGAGCTTACGCTAAAAACAATGGAGATGGACTTCTGTGTAGTATTCTGTGGCAAAAGCATGCAAACGAAAGAGCTGCTTAATTACGACACCAAACAATCGTTAAAAGCCTTATCAGCTTCCTCTACTCAATGTATTAACCACAGAATAAGGCACACAGAAGGGCCCCCTGGCCGCCATCTTCCTAGCCAGTCGATTGCATTTTCTCTTTGCATGTATTTCACCTTGAAATCGCAGGAAATTGCCATTCCAGACTTCGAAAATCAACATTTTCCCAGTGGGTGTATGCCCCCGGAGCCTCCTACCCTGTGCGGGTCGTAGAGCACGACTGGTCAAATGTCCTCAGCTTCGCCACTGATTGTCATGTTTTAGGAATACCTTTTAAAGTTGTTGATATCGATATTCAGAGATGCTGCAAATACCTGAAATGCCATTGTGATTCTTTCCTGTTTCGTCTTCCTTCTTTGTCTATATGAAAATTAGTTACAGAAATACGGAAGTAAGATCTATTAGGCATTAAAGAGAAATGTCATTCGTAAAGTTAAATACATCATCATTTTAAACATTCACAATGGGCCATGGATAAATGAAAACGAACACACATCAATCATCATGCATGATATTCCTCTTGTCCAGTGGTATGCCAGGTAGTGTTTAATGTATTATGCGTCGCCCCAGAACATGGTAGTTAATTTACTAGAAAATACATGAACGCAGAAACCCTCGCCTTACTGACAAAACCATTATGTTTTCTAAACATGAAGTCACACTGAAGTATTGAAAGTAGTTGTCATGGTAACATGATAATTTTAAGAATAGTTTTAAAATTGAAAGATCCCCCACCCCCCACCCCCGAAATATCACTTTTAATTACAAAATGATCAATTTCCCAAACATATATATATACGTAATATAAGCTTCAAAAGCTCATTAATAATTCATGAAGCAATTATCCAATCTTGAGTAAGAAATTAGTCACGTGCATACGTCTTTATACCAGCTAAAGAATACTTTAACAAAAGACCATTGTTATGCAAACTATATATATAAAGATTTTACATAAAGATTTTTATATAAAGATTTGACTTATTATGCAAACGTTTTTGAAGCCATTTAAAAAACTCGCAGGTCGTGTTTTATTAGGTCCAAATAAAACACTCCTGCTCGTTTTTTAAGTAGTACTTCAATTTAATGTAAAATTCAACCGTTTCGCAAAACGTTTTAAAATGTTCTTAAAGCTAAACTGCCTTTATCGAATTATCGGTAAACTTATTTGAGTTTGAAATAAACTGATTTCAAATTCACGCATGAAAATAACTTTGCTTTCCTCTTTATTTAAATATTTTAATATACAAAAGAAAGAGTAATTAATAAAAATACACTGAAATTATATGCTGTCTTTTTTTACTTGTATACGCAACGATAGTATCAGTTTTTAAAGCAATAATAAAAATTATAAAACAAACAATACATTAATATCAAAAACAAACTTACTTTCATTAACGTCGGCGACTTTTCTGTATTCTTTTAGAAGTTTTTAGACGTTTTTTGCTGTCAGAAAGGTTGCAAATATACAACTTGAAAGAAATGTTTGTTACTTCGCTGTCGTCATGCATGCAGTCCTTATAATGCAAATTTCAAATTTGACCAATCAGTGTTCGCTATTCACGACAGTCCGCTACATATTTTGAGATCAGTGAGGATGGCCACACATGAACGGTAAGCCATGCGCCCGCGATATTTGATGAACTTTAGACTTCGTTATAGTGCGTTCCTTTCCCCGGGTGTAAATAGCCGGGCGGAATTAGTATATATACCTTCGCCCGTTGGCTCGGGAAAAAAGAACTGCACTTACTGAAAACAATTACGTAGCACATAGCTGAAACATATTCTGATGGAATTATTAGAGAGCGACGGAAACAGTACATCTCAAATTCTAATCTGTCTTAGTTGAACTTAATCCTGTAGTATACGAAGATTTAAGTTTAAAATTTAAAGTTGGAAAATTTTAATGCTCTCACATTCAATTCTCTCTCCAGGGGCGGTTGTATAAAACTCTTAATCACTTTTGTAATCACTATTTTGTAGTTAAATTGTGGTTAACTTTAATTAGGTAGTTAACTCGGTTATGTAAAAAAGTGGTTAGCGTTAAGTGTAGTTAAAACGTAGTTAAAGTTAACGATGCTTTATGGTATCGATAACTTCTCAAAACGTAGTTAAAATTGGCGCTTGTATAGGAGGGAACAACATTTTTCAGTAAAACAACAATGAAAAGTAATGCTTACCTGGGATTCTCAATCGCTATCTTCCCTGTGAATGTTTTCTGACAATATAAACTCCTCAAAAGCTATCGCTTTGGTTTTTGGGCGAAAACATAATATATTTTTGCACGGGAAGATTTCTTGAAGACGACGTAGGGCCTATTCCACGAAGAAACGTGATATATAATTGCTAAACGTTTACACTTTGGTTTAACGTAGACATCTCAAGTAAAAATGGCTTTCTTCCTTGATTTTTAACTTGATTTTCACTGTTTTGAATAAAATTCCCGCCTATTTGCAAAATGCGAGTCAAAGATCGTATTAAAGTTGCTTGTCAGCGGTCGTTAATCGCTTCTTACTTTATGTAATTTTGTGTTTAAAACGCCCCACGCAAGTTAACGACGTGATTAGTCAATCATCCGACAAACTACGTTTTGTGCAACGCAATTAAGTCGTGTAGTTAACTAATCTTAGTTAAATAAGGATTATTTAATTTCAGTGATTAACGCTAATCATAGTTAAAGTTAA